GTTTTAATGTGCTCTTGAGCATTCATGCAGGTAGCAATGGATGATCAAGGAAAATCCATAAAACTTTCAGAAAAATACAGTTTAACAGTTTCAGCACTAGACCTACAGCAGGTGATACAAGAAACCAAACTCCAGGCTGAGAACAGTGGATCACAGCAAAGTGCACGATGCATCACGATGTTTGGTTGATAAACACTCTGTTACATTTTGTGAAATTGGCTAACTAGAAACCAATATTTTTCAGACAAACACAAAATAATCAAATCATTGTGCTATATTCAAAAGTTCAGTAAACTCTCTATATATAATTCAAGAGTTGTCTGTCTGTCTGGTGTCTTGACACTGAAAGTTTATGTGACCTCTCCAAATATTGTGTTTAAGTGAGTAAGAAATCAGATGAATGGCTCAATCATTTTAATTTTTATTAACAAATACAATGACAAAGAAAAGTGATGTTTAATATCACAGATGAACTCAACAAGTTGCAAATATCACTATTATATAATAAAGACTACACTTGCTGAGAGAAATTAATACAAAGATATGGAACATATTAAAATAAAACACTTGAAGAGAGCATAAACTAAACATTATAACACAAGTACTGCCAAACGAGAAGTGATAGTTTGGTAGAATTGAATAGAAGGAGTCACATGCATCAAGAAGTATTTGCACTATTATTGCTGGAGGGTTGTCGCATGATGATTTGCATGAGAAACACATTAGAATTAGTCAATTCCAATTGAGTGGGAGATTCAAGACTTGTGGTATGCATAAATTTTTTTAACATAGAGGGCAACACTGAATAAGAATATCTATTTATCTGTGAGAAGGTAATGTACTGCATGGGAAAAAAAAGTGATGTATGATGTCACGAATAGCACAGAAACCTTTGCTGATTGCCCATATTTAGTAGAATTCATGATGAATGATGCAAATTGTCCCACCAACCTTGTGTTAAAGATGAAGTACATTTACTATTTCAAAATAATTCAGAATTTATTTATTCATCTTTAGAATAAATATTCAATATTAAACACAGCATTGATGAACATCTGAAACCAGCTTCTAACACAAGAAGCAACTCAGACAAGTACCTGTAGATCTTGTAACACATTCCAAGAATTGGTGAGTGTAGAGATAACTTACAGCAAGAAAATTATATAATTGTTACGCAGTAGAATGAAACTGACACAATATAAAATTTAACTTTAAAAAACAAGAGAGACAGTTTCAAATAATGGATAATAATATTAACACATTACAAATACAATTCCACATCCATGACTTATAACCCAAAATTAAAAGTGAAAACGTAAAGCTTTTAAAGCTATTTTTTCTAAAATTTTTATGCACCAAATTGCTTGTGGGTTCATGACTTTTTGGTTAGCTGGTCCCTAATAACATATGTCAAACAAAATGTAAACACAAATATAAGTTAAACAGCAATTAATCCCACTAATTACTTCCGAGGTGTCTTACATATTTAACAATGAAAATGGGTGATTTCCTCCAACGTTCTTAAGCAGTTCTTTACAATGAGCATCGTCAGAGGTAAAAATATAATTACTCAACAGAAATGGAGCCATCTGGTTGCTAGAAGTATCAACTGTAATCGAACTTGTACAGTT